AAAGTACTCCAAATCATCCATGAGGTCTTGGTTAGCCCTAAAATAAAATGAATGTTTTACTCATGTGAAGAACCAACGGAGAAACTAGTGTCTCAAATAATCATTAGAAGAATGTGGAATCCCCACCCCAGTGGCTCAGTGGTGAGTCTGTGGACTTAGAACTCTAAATATCGGGTTTCGATTCCCTTGAAATGCACAGCACAGATAGCCCATTGTGTAGCATTATGCTTAAGAAGAAACAACCAAAAGTAATGCGAAAGTACTTCAAAACTCATGGTACTGTTGCCCATACAACTGAAAAACACATGGTACAATTGCTCAGATAACTGAAAACTCATGGCACAGTTGCTCATACAACTGAAAAAAAACAAGTCATGATCTAGAACAAGAACAGACTACCGATATTTGTTTATTCTGATTCGTCATAATCGTAGGGTAGTTGCTCCATGATTGAATCAAGTGTACGCAGCCGCAACTGGATGCCGTACCAGTATACAAAGAATTAGTAAAATTTGTTTGCTCATCCGTTTCACTCACAGCAAGACACAAAACTGTTCACTTGTAATTTTTCCAAGAACATGCCCAGTAAGTGAACAGCATGTGAACAATATTATTATTATTTTTACAGATGAGTCTTGTTTAACTATTTAGCCAAATTAAAGACGTATACTCATTTGAAGAGAATCTAGAACCAGACACAACCATATTTTCATGCAGGAACGTAACACATATGACAGTGGTGGAATTATGGTGTCGTCGTATGGACCTCTACAACCTGTGATGGTACCATTCATGTCAAACCTTATTGTAACCACGTTCTACAACCCTTTGTTTTGAGATAAATAGTGATGAGCACACTATATTAAAAAAGGAAAAAAAAACTATATAAAACCGTGGTAAAACAGCATATAACGGAAATATATTTTCCCATGACAGAGTTTTGGTTGAAATGAGCTGCCTCGGTCTGATTTTAATATTAAGACATTTCGGCGTCTATATTTTGGGCATACACTTAAGCCGGAATCAGTATTTTAGCTGCATTTAAGCTTCTGAAGAAACCTGTAGTGCATCTGACTCAGTACTCTGCAATCATTGACATAAACGAGGACCAGTCCTTAAGGACTCTGTGGTGCACCTTGGCACAAAGCCATTGGCAAAGCTGAGAACCATTTCTGAAGAAATGAAAAAGTAAGCTACGTTAAAAGGTGATAAAAGCATTGTAAAAATTTACGTAGTAAATAAAAAATATTAATTTTAAAGTGATTAAATTAGAAAACAAGACGAAGATGAACTTTTGGTATTGACACCTTTTACAAGGCAAGGGCTAAATGGTCATTCGTGATTATGAACTACTGATTATGGAGAAGGGGCCACAAGGGCCATATCCGACAATTTGGACCAACTAACGGAGTTAAGTACCATTTTAATTACTTGCCCATAGTCGTCTATTGTCGATAAATGGTGTTCTTTGGTGTTTCGCATTATTATTTTATTAGACTATCTTAAAGATTACATACAATTCAAGGTTTATGTTGACAAATTATAATCATTTACACCAGAATTTCAATAATTTACTCACACAGTACCTTGTTGAAGAAGAGGGTAATTTCATATTCAAAAATTAGTTAATATTTTGTTGATGAAAAAGTAATTTTTTTGTTTCCATAAATTTTCGTGTCTTGTTGGCGAAAAATGTATTTGGGTAGAAAATGACAAAAAAGTGTCTGTTGGCGAAACATCACAAGCAGTGATGTTATCGAGAGCAAACGCGAGTAAACACTTCTAATTAACTCACTTCTCGTTCATCCTGCCATATCCAATGGCTCAGAAGCAGAACACAGACAGCCCATTATGTAGTTTTGTGTTTAACTACAAATAAAATCCTGTAACCTTTAATGCCACTACTCATGTTTTATTTGTTTGTTGACAGTCATTACTTCTTTGTTCAAGCTTTTTTGTAAGTTTAATTCATAAGTTTATTTTCCATACACTATATTCTCGTGCGTTACTGTCCACGGTTTATTCACATGTTTATTCAATACTACACGAGGGTTATCTGCGCTAGCCATCCGTAATTTAGCAGTGAAAGACTAGAGGGTAGCCAACGAACAGTGGGAGTGACCGTCACCGTATAACGCCCCCTACGGCTGAAACGGGTGGAACGGGGATTCGAACCCGCAATCTTCAGATTTCGAGTTAAACGCTTTGGCCACTTGGCCATTACGGGTCCATATAAAAAGTATTAGACATGAATATTATAAGAGTAATTCAAACTCAATACTAAAACGTGTACGAGAAAGATGTAGTAATCCATATCTGCTAAAGCTTCGAGTATTGGATAGCTATTACATTAATCCATCAACTGCGAAGCGATATGCTAAAGATAGGTGTGATGCTAATCCTGAATCTGAACATGCTAGAGTGAAGCGAGCTTATCATGAAGAACTGACAGTAAGGATTAGCAAGCAATATGTTTATACTGCCAACCCTCGTCCTTATCGTTTAAATGTTAAAGCCTATTATGAAAAACAATGCAACCAGAAAATACAAATTATAACAAGCCTATTACAAACATCATGAAGTTAGTAAAGACAAGAAAAGAAAGACGAATATAAAATCAAGTGGAAGATTGTTAGACAAGCGTCGAATCACGAGATTAATTGTAAATTCAATTTGTAATAAATATAGAATACTTTACCT